CAGTCTTAGAGGTACTACAGCAGACAGGAACCAGTGTCAGAGCAGCAGTGGCAAACAAAGACAAAAATGTCAACACTGAGGAGATTTATAGAAAACTGCGTGAGCAGTACCCAGGTCTGAAAGAACTGATGGAGAGCAGATTCCCTGATGATTCTTATCAGAAAGCACTGGAGCTGATGAGGGAAGACTTTGGAAAGATCCAGCGCTCATTCAGTGAAGTTCACAGAGTCAGGGAGCTGATTAAACTGGGAGAATCAGTTTGCAAAGTGGTTGTTGGGGATGTTTGTCAGGGAACGGGCTTTGTGCTGTTTGACAACTTCATCCTGACTAACGCACACATATTGAAAGGTTGTGTAGAAGGAGGAAAGCTGAAGGAGGGTATACATGTGTATGTTTTATTTAACTATGAAGATCCTGAGCCGCACACAAAGTACTACTACTTTCAGCTGGCTCGCCGTGGCATCTGCTACAGTGAGGGTGAGCTTGATTATGCCATACTTGAGATCAATCCTAAGGGCCAGATACCCAACCAAGCAACACAAACAAAGCAGATCAAGGTGCCACCAGGGCTCCTGCAGAGATTTAGTCCAATACCGCCAAATGGTGAAGCCTGTATTGTTGGTCATCCAGCAGGAGGCCTGAAACAAATGGATCCAACATGTATCATTGAGAAAGAGAAGCGGGAGCAGGCTGTCCATGATCATCTACAGCCATACAAAGACAATCTTTTCATTGTCTACTCAATCACTCACCTTATCAAAAAGCAAGGCATTGAAAACATAATGATTGGTGGAGACAAAGCAGACAACGTAGCGACCTACAACACTTTCATGTATCACGGCTCTTCTGGCTCTCCAGTGTTTGATGCTCATGGTCGAGTGTTTGGTTTGCACACCGCAGGATTTGTCTATGGGTTTCCAAACCATAAAAAAAGTGTGATAGAGTTCGCCCAACCTCTGCTGACTATATTCAAACACTTTGTGAGTCAGCTGAAGCAAAACGGAAATGAGGCGATGTTGAAGAGAGTTG